GGGGGTGGGGGTTAAGAGTGGGATTGAGTAAAGTGGGAAAAAAACACCTTGTCCGAGGCAGATTGCAAACGGGGCGGCATTCATGTGCGTGGGGGAAATAACAAACGAACGCATCGTCTCTCCATCATCTGGTCGGACGGGACTCGGACCCGGTCACCCCGGGCTAGGCTCAGCTGTCAGACCGGCTGAGGCTTGGCGAAATCTGTTTACATTGTATGGATACACACCGGTCGGACGTCTGGATAGGCTGTATGGGACTGCGTGTGCATGCACACACCGACAGACAGACCGTAACAGAGACATACACAGGTCTGCACATGTCTGCCAGAGCTGAGTGGATCTGATCCGAACTCGACTCGGCGGGGTCAAGCTGGCCGAGATGAAGATCGGCCCGGCTTCAGTCAGCCCAAAGGGGAAGAGGCAATGTCCCACCGATTTGGGACCGGTATGGGGGAGGGTAAGGGTAAGTGGGAGTGGTAGTGGGAGTGGGATTGGGATTGGGATTGGGATAGGGTTTTGGGCGAAATCGTGCGGAAACCAATACTGCCCGACTTGGCAGAATCGGCGCACTGGGTTCGGGGCCGGAGTCGGTGTCAGACCGGGCTGGACATACACACATGTAGGCATACAGACAAGCAGACATGCAAACAGACAGAAGAGAGGACATGAGCAGTACCCTGCTAGGCCTCGAAACCAGCTGTGGGAGGGAAAGCGCGAAGGGGAGCAAAGCGAGCCGACAACCTCGAGGGATGGACTGCGAGATGCTGAAGAGAGGGTGGCGCAAAAAGAGGCGAACTGTCAAGGCAGAGGACACCTGTTAGTCTGAAGTGGCGTGCTTCGCAAATGGGCAACGATCTTCAGATTGACATGTCCGATAGAAGAGAGTTTACGTTAACCCCGAATGCCGGGAAAAAAGAAAAGAGTTAAACCATCTCCCCTCGAGTTGGCTTCAAGTTCGACTCCGAAGAGGTTGCAACCGCGAGGCCGACTTCGGCCCGGGCCATCTTGCCAGACAATGAGGGCTTGAAAGGATGTTTTGCAATCGAAATATGGCCCAGACACAATATCGTTCGGGAACCGTGACTACCCGAAAAGGAGACGTGGACCACCCTGCCACCCTTTGGCACTCGGCATGTCGCCGACATTAGCATTAGCTGGCGGTGGCTCGCAGCCGCCAGCCTCAAGAAGGCAACCCGTCGACGTCGAGATGAGTCCAGTCGATGAATGCGCTCGAGTGTGGATGAGTCGG